GTGGTGGCGATGACGGTGTTGCACTTGCTGGACGGGTAAGTGAATTGGAATTGGAGTTGTTGTCATGTAACTCCAGTGTTGGTGTCAATGAGGCGGTTTGCAGTTGCGCGGACTGTGGTGAAATGCACGTGTTCAAATCATTTGATGTGGCCGAGTCGTGGTAATCTATATTGGCCAATTTCGCCGGCGTGCCATGCTGTTGTTCCTCGAGTTCCTCGGCCGATGGCTGTAGTACTTGGGTAACTTGTTGATTCTTACGTTTTCTGCCATAACTACGCGGCGCTGGTGGCGTACTACCCGTTAGGGGTGATGTACTCGCGGCGCCACTTTTGGTTGCTGCCGCTGCTGCCTCTTCGGCGGCACCAGCCTTCGCTGATAAATTGGCGGCAATTTTATTAATATTATTATTGTTATTATTTACATTGTTATTGTTGCTAATGTTACGAGGTTGGCGTCCACGACGTGTGACGGGTGCCGTAGCGATTGCTGGCGTTTCAATACTATCATTGGTTTGCTGTATTGCTACCTCTGCTGGAGGTAAGCTGGGCGATTCCAAGACACCTTTTTCAGGAGATGTGTTGTTATCTGCAGGTGATGTTATATGCTCCTCAGTTACAACAGCTACCTTTTTTGGTCGTCCTCTTGTTGGACGTTTAGTAGTTTCTTCCGCGACGACAGTAGTTGCCACGGCAGCAGCTGGTTTGCGCCCTCGTGTTCTGGTTGTTGTGGCTGATTGAGTTTTCTGTGGAGATTGACTGCTTTCATCCTCACCTTCCGCATAGTTTGCTCTCGCACCTCGACCTCGGCCTCGTGTGACACGACGTTTAGTTGTACTTTGTTCTTCGTTTTCTTCTTTTTGCAACTCTGTGGCTGTTTCCATTTCTGGAACATCCATCGGCTCCGCTACACCGTTCACTTTGGGTTTATCAGACTCAGTATTAGCTGCAGCTACGGAATGAAGGCTTTCGTCGCCGCGGAGTACAGCTAATATATCTTCCTGTAGTGGCTCTTCTACCAAATTCGTTGCTCGTTGACTCACTTCACCGTCCATCATCATAGATTCTAACCGTGACTCTATATCGGATGGTGGGGCTACCAATGAGGAATGCTGACTCGTTTCCAAATCGCTGGTTATAACACTAGAACCGCGACTATGTATCACACAACTCTCTTCGTGCACCGCCTGCGCCAATAGCTGTGGCGTACTGTTACCTTTAGACGAAATGCTGCCCAGTACCGAGGATTGCGAATCAAAATCACGTTCCGACAGAGCAGGCGGAGAAATCACTGTGCGTCCTATTGACGTTGGCTGTTGATGTTGTTGTTCAATGTGTGCACTAAATGCCAGATGCGGAGAAGGCGTCTTAAATTCACTGCCTGTTGCGGCACTATTTGCTTGCTTTAAAGCGGTGAGTTTCAAATGTTTATGCTTTTTACTTTTCTGTTTCTTTTCTCGTTCACCTCCAGACGTACTACCTGATTCTGCGGCGGCGGCTGCTTTTTGTGCTGCTGCAGCGGCTTTAGCTGCCTCGGCGGCTTTTATGGCGTTGCGTATCACGTCTGTTTTAATAATGAGTTTTAAACGTTCTTTAGGCGGTTTATCCGGTGAAATTTTCACTGTTGAGTAATTAATTTCGGATGGATCTTCAGAATTTTGATGTGATACGTGTGCAGTTTGAGGAGCAGGTAGTGTAGGCGGCGGTAACACTGGATCCGGAGATGGCGGTCGCAGTGGTTTTACAATGATCTTTGGCGTACTATATACCGGCGTAGGTTGTGCGGAAGGAACTTCTTCTGTAGAGGCTTTGCGAGATTTTGATGGCTCGGTATCGTAGTGTTGATGTGGAGATGAGATGTTATTTGTAATAGGTTGCTCTTCACTATCAGTACTCACCAAACGAGAGGTACCCTAAAATAAAAAATAATTTAATTTTTTACTTCTTGCACTTTATTAATATGGAAAAATTTATATAAAAAAATTATTTATAAAAATAAAAATATTTTACATATCATATAGAAATTATTTATACTTAAAATAAATCGAAATAATTATTCACACCACTTTTCAGTTTTCGGTTACTAGAGCACTAACGCTGCGACAAAAAATGCGCGCGTTTTTTACATCTTTTGTTGTTACACTTCTTTCGCGTTTGCTTTTGTGGTTGTTTTTCTCAAGTTCCCTTTGAGTACCTTTTTTTTGTTTTATTTTAGTGTTGTTTGGTCAAGAGAATTAGAACATCATCTATTGTGAATCGTGGTGAGTTAAGAATTCTACCATTCTGCTAAAAAACGGGGGGAGGGGGTTTGAGGACAAATTAATTTTCACGAGTTCGTTAGAAAGCGTATAAAATGCAGAAGAATGGTAAAAATAAAATATTTACCTAAAGCACTTAGAAATATGTTTATTTCAAAACTAGATAATACTAAATATGTATATTTATTGAAGGCAGGTTGTATTGTGGAAAATAAAATTTATTATATATTTTATAAACAATTTACCTTAGAAATTCTCAGCACTATTGGTGGATGTTCAGGGGTTTTCGGAGTGTAAGCGGTTGCGACTGTCGTCGTAGTTGTTGCTACGCTTCCAATTAATGTCGCACTAACAGTTACAGCTGTTGGTGTGGGTGTTGCCGGAGGCGGTAGATCTGGCTCAATAGTTGCACCACTTTTTATACTATCCTCCGCGTTAGGTACCTCAGTTTCATCTGATTGAGCGGGTTTATTTTTAGGAAATATGATATCTTTTAGTGGTGTCGGTATGCGTTCATCTTCGTCATCCTCACAATAGTTAACCACTTTTCGCGCCCGGGCAATAACACGTGAAGGCGGTGCTTCGGGCTTCAGCTTTTTCTCCTCTTTCTTCTTTTTTTGCTTAGATTCGCTAACCGGCTTATTCACACCTAACGTAGAAGCATCCCCAGTAGCATTATCATCATCTTCCGCTGTCGTTTGCTTTGCAATAACTTTCTTCGGTGATTTCTTCTTACGCTCCCCAGAATTTGCTTTTGGTAATTTCATTTTGATTGGTTCACGTACTGGAGTACCGATCGAACCAGCATTAGATGTTCCAGCTGAATAACTTTCACGTACAGGCGAAGCTGGTGTTCTAGGCATATTCTGTATGATTTGTGCAATCACCTCAGGCGGCGCGGAATTTCGTGATTTAAAAAATTTCTTAGGCTTTGGGGGTTCTGGTACCGATGGTGACATGTCATCGTCAAGCAATGATGCTGGACTTTGAGCAGGACTCGCTGCTGCAGCCGCAGCGGCAGCTGCCGCTGCTACGGCTGGTGATAGCGCAGCTAAAGCATAGGTACGGGTAGACGTAAACCCGATTTTGCCCCATTTACCAACCGTACCGACGGAGCGGGCCACAGTTGGACGATTGGTACTTTCCTCACCTTTGCAAAGTACGTCCATGGGGACAACAATATTTTTGCCCCAACGAGACATTATGTTCTTGTTTAATTAATCAATTATCGTGCTCCAGATGGTGACGTTATTTGGATAATGTAAAAATTTAATTAATACTTCTAAATATGGGTTTTATTGGTTTTCATTTGAATTTGGAAGTTTTGGAACGACTTGAATTTACTTTTCATTTATTTTTTTAAAAGATACTCGTATTTGTTAAGTTTTGTTCGCCGTCTTCATTAGATTGTGTACATAATTTACCTAGCTTGCTTTTTTTTCTAAAATTCAAGAGTTGAAACAAGTTACAATACACTCCGCTTTTTTTATGAAAAAAATCACTGAACTCATTATTCATGTGCATGGTTCTTTATATAATTATGCATGTTTTTAAAGTTCAATAAAGTTTAAACAGGTTTTTTGTTTTTGTTTTCTTTTATATTTATGCAGGCGGCGCATGATAGCCGCGTTACAGTTCACCACAATTTAATTGTTTTTATTTTCACCTCGACATCCAGTAAACACAACACAAAACGTCAAATGTGTTTTTGTTGTAATTTTATGTAGTTTCCTTTCGGCGCGATTTCAATAGCTCCCCCCCAATAAGATTTTCTCCTCATCCAAAATCACTACCCCTTTTTTCTCTCCAGCCACCCAATCAATGCACTCGAGCGAAAGCAATAAAACCATAGAGCCGTTCAAAAATGCCCTTTCGCACTCATCTATATATTCACATTGCATTTGCAATAAATTTTTCGTCAACGAAATTCAATTTGTACAATAAATAATCAACAGTTGCACAAAAATTTACTAATATTTTCGATTTGCTTTCACATTCGTGTTCACTGTGCCATCGTACCTTTACGTGCTTTTCTTTGTGGGGCAGACGGTGAGAGCATACGAAATTTACATCACTTTAAAACAAACAATACATGTATTTTTCGCCCGCAAAACACTTGTCAATATTTTCATGCAATCTCTTCTAACTTTTCGACGTAGATATATTCACGTAAACTGATTTTAAATTGATTTAAAATGAAAAATATTTTTGGCGAGGTTTACTGCTTTTATGTATCGGAGCCATTTTTATTTTTCCCGTTCCTTATTCACCACTTTGACGGTATTGCCATTTTCGAGAGAATATCTAATAGATTATTTTGATAATTGAGGAATTTTGGTAGTGTGAGAATTATATTGAAAAATAGTGGAAAATTAAATAAAAAAAAAAAAATGTGCATAAATTATGCCAAAACATTCCTAGTCATAAAACAATAATTTTTTGTGAATTTAAATTTTTTTTTGTTAAAGCAGTATATTTCTAATAAGTAAATTAAAACAAATTTACATTTACATTATATTAATGTACTTTAATAATTCGCTTAACCGCGTAGCCAACCTGCAGGGGGACCTCCGTAAACAGGTGTCTGACGGTTAGGAAGAAATTTCTGTTTAAAATTATATAAAATCCAAAAACCAAAAAACTGTAGATGCATACAGATAATGATCGAAGGACTATTACCATAGTTATTTACTAGTTTTATATTACTATATACCATCTCAGCATTTATCCGTCATATTTATAAAACTTAATATGTTATGTGCCTATATTTTGGTTCTATTTCATTTACAAAAAATTTGAATACTAAATTAATTATAATATTTATTGAATACTTTTATGTCTACGTATATCTTTAGTATTATTCACATTTTCTTTTTGAGATTGGCTCATGTTTTCAAAATAAATTTGGCCTTATTCGTCAAATCCTTTTCCTCCTTTTCTTCGTTAAGTATGTAAGCAAGAGGATCGTCATTAACGGATTCCATTAAATTGTGGCACGTCTGATTAATCGGGAACATAAACGACAGGTCAATGTCGTAGCGTGGTAGCTTTTCCCTAAAAAATTAAACAGTTAATGGATTTAAGAATTTTTACAAGTTCATATAACTGTTTATTATGTCATATTATGACAGAAATACCCTGATTTTGCGGTAAAATATTATCTACTATTTATACAAAATATTATTATATATATGAATAATGCATAAGTAAAAATACCTCAAGAAGTTTACGACATTATCGCCCAGTTGCTGCTCTCGCGACAATAACAAGGCTGATAAGTAACGCGGTGAATTTTTCTTTTCCGCACAATGCATTATTAGGCTCCACGATTTGTAGTCCGTATCGATGACGTAAGTGTTGTAGATGCCCTCATCTGTAGAAGAAAACAATGATTGCATAATTATTTTGTAGAAAAAGTAATAAATATTAATTGCACGTGATATTAAAAGATAAAAAACATTAAATCACATAAAGAATACGAAAATTATTCATAACCTTGATATATATATCTTTACTGGCACATTTTAGGGAAGTCACCGTAATTTCTTAGATAAAAACATACATTTATTTGTTTTTACACTGTTCTAATAGAAATAATTAATAAATAAAAAAATCAGTGAAACCTGATTTAAAAATATCATCTAATAAAAAAAAAAATAAAATAAATACATTTTCACAAATCTTCAATTTCTCAAACAATTGTTATAAGCCTCGGTTGGGATGGACTTCAGTGCCTTCAACGTATATTGATTTTTCTGCTTCGGTTCATTTTTGGATTGCAATTTGCTAGATTTTTGGACAGTTTCGACGTGGTATTCATAAACACACATCCCGTCTCCAGTAATTATTATATAGTCTATTTTGCTGTCTTTTGCTGTAAACCCAAATTAAAAAAAATGTGTTGAGTTGATCCAAAACAGATGTTGAGGTCCTTTGCTATCTTTCTGAGGACAACCCGACGATTTTCAAGCACTGTTTCTTTAACTTTTTCATGACTTTATGAGCTTCACCGAGTGCTCTGTGCCACTTGTAAATACTTGCGTTCGTGATAAACTAACATAGACTCGACAAAACACTTCGGCAACATTTTCAACGTTTTTTTTTTCAAGGTAAAAATTGCCAGACAAACTTTTCGCGACGTAAACAAAGGTTGTAGCAATCTAGAAAACAATTTTTATCGATTCGGTTTGCGAACGATGGTATATACTTGTATATTTTTTCACTGTAATGATGAAAGTAATTAATAACACAAGAATTTCACTGTGTTCTAAGCTAAAGAGAATACTATTTACTATTATTATATATTTTAAAGTTTTTTAATAGTTTTGCTTACAAATATCCTCTGTGTGCATCCAATGCGCTGGTGTTTCGAAATCCGGTATGAACCAGGTAATATTTCCCTGTAATTTCTCACGCAATGGATCTTCGGCGAAAATGTAACTAAAATTCATGGTTATCTAAAAGAAAAATTTAAAATTATAATAAATTATAAAAAAATATTTATGTCTTAGAAGACTGATATAATATTTAGTATTTAAATAAGCGAAAATAATTTGAAATTCGAAATAAATTAACTATATGCCTTTATTTATACGAATTTCTGCTCAGAAGTCAGATGATCAAATTTGACCCGGACTGCGTACGTTGTGTTTTAAGTATAAACAAACATTTACTCATATATATATATATATATATTACATATACATCAAAGTGTATATGTACATATGTATGTCTAGATCAATCTATAAGAACTTTTACTTAACAACAAATGCTACATGCATAGTTTTGTTCGTACTTGAACTAATTTCGCCCATATGAAGGCCGATCACTATCTATTTTGGCGCTATAGAAATTAAACTATTTCATTCTCTCTGTATGCGTGTATATTAGATGTGTAAATATATTTACCATAAGAAGTTTAATCTCTAAATTTAATATATTGATGTGTTTAATAAGGAAATTTTTATTTTTAACTGTGGGAGCAACATTAGCTTTGCCAATATATTTTTAATAATGGAGTGAGGGGGGATAAGCCAAGCAGTCTTTTTTCATTTGAACTCTCTTGACCTTTGTAAAATATATTTTTCAAACAGCCGCTGAATTAGCACTTTATTCTATATAGGTGTAGATAATTTATTATTGTAATAAATTAAGAGGATATCTGAAATGTCTAAATATACATACATATATAATATATAATATAATATTAAAATTGAGAAAGAAAAGTTCGCTAGTTCGAGGTCACGCTTTGTCAAGAAATTTCTTTAAATAGATGTTTACGAAAATAGTCGCGGTTTACTGAAATATTTAAAGAACGAACTACCGGTATGAAGTGAGCGCATTTTTGTGAATATGAACTACTAATTTTGAATTGGAAAGTAAAAAGAAAACATTATTCAAAGTATTGACCATTGTTTTTTACACATTTATACTACCTTTCAGGCAATTTGTGTGTACAATGCCAATGCTCGTTCTTTGAAGCAAACCAATCAGACACCCAATTTTCGATTTCTGCGTAGGAATCGAAGTGCTGCTCAGTCAATGCGTGTCTCATCGATGAAAACAAATGGTAATCAGAAGGGGCCAAGTCTGGAGAATACGGCGGGTGAGGTAGCAGCTCCCAGCCAAGTACTTTGATTGTATCCTGAACCAATGTGGCTTTGTGTGCAGTTGCATTGTCGTGTAACAAAACTACTTTGCTGTGTCTTCTGGCCCATTCTGGTCATTTTTCGATCAATGCATTTATGATCAAATTGATCAATTGTTGTCTGTAGCGATTAGTATTAACAGTTTCACCAGGTTTTAGTGGCTCATGATATATCACATCCTTCTAAACACATCAAACACAGAACCCAATTTCTTTCAATTTGTCTTTCATTCCCATAGCTTTCAAACGGTTTGTAATTGTTTGGCTGCCATTTGCTTTTGACTCTAAGTATCATCTTCACTCAATATTGTTTGCAGTTCGGCGTTTTCAAACTTTTTTGGTGATCTTCCACAATCTTCATTTCTCACATCCAAATCATTATCTCTGAACCATTGAAACCATCTTTTGAATGTTGCTTCTGATAGAGCATGATCACCATATGTCGGTTTTTTAAATGTTGTTTGTTCAATGACTACAAGGTTATTGAATATGTTTGACAGATGTCATGCCAACCAAACAGAAAAAAAATTAAGGCTCGTTCATAACAAATGGTGTCTACCAACCCATTTCTATCTCAACGCTCATTTCATACCGGTGTGTGGTAATTTTAAAAAGGCAAAGGTGAAGATCTGTGAAATCCATATGTACATAGGTATATGGTATGAGTAGTGGGTACTTACATGTTGATCTTCGGCGGAGAATGTAAAATCGCTTTGCATGCAGGCATATTCTGGCAACTCTTCCGTCGATGCATAATACTGGACAACATACCAAAATCCCATCATCGATTCCAGATCAAAATTTCGTATAGCGCGAACCTGCAAAAAAAAAAACTGAGACATAAGCACATTGACATTGGGAAATAAAGCGCGTGTATCATGAGATGAAATCTTTATATGTATATATTTCGATATTTGTATCATATTATTGTTCAGCTAATTGGGTTTTCCCTTTTCGTGTTAGCGAAGTTATTTCGGTTTAACGGGAGAACAGATACATAACGTTCTGAACATAGCATAGCACATACAAAATCGTTTTCTAAGAAAATGATACCTTCTCGAATGAGATTCTCTTATTTGATGCCGATTACTTAAAATTTTCCATCATTACCATAGGTGTTACTTGAAATATAGACACCGCGAACCAGATCTTGCGAGGCCTATTGTACAGGCAGAAATATAGTATCCCAAAAAGATAGAGACAGAATCCGTCCTCGAATACTGACGTTCGGTAGATGGAAAGCACTTTAAACACAAGACACTCATGGCAAATCTGGAGTTATGGACGCACCTAGTAATGCAAGAACATTCTAACCCCAAAAAGATAATTACATTTTAAGTTTGTTCGTAACCCTGTCGGATAAATTGTGTCGCAAAAAATTGTACAAGGAGTGGTGGACGTGGTGTAGCACAATATGTTCTGCTCATGCTTTTACTCGAGGTACCGCTTCAGCGTGTTGGAACAGGAAGTAAGGTGTATGTATTCTATGAAAGCGAGAGAAAGGCCGCAATAATTGAATAGAATAACGGTAAAAACTTTCAAAAGGTTTCAAAATATTGCAACTTTTTTAAAGATCTTGCGTTTTGAAGTCTGGATTATATTTACTTAAGTTACGCACCAACGTTTCTACAACTCGTGGCATGGTGAGACCCAAGCAAGTATGATAGAATTCAAGATCTATTACCCACTACAAGATAATACATATACATATAACGATGGAAAAGCTAGCGCTTCAAATGTGTATAATGGCAAAGAGTATTTAAGTACATACTTAATTCTTTTGCTAAATACTGTAGTATATTATGACGAATAAATTTAAGTCGGTGGTATTTAGGTGACTACTGTTCAATTAAAAATTCGTCTAAAAGCAAAAGTATCAAGGGAATTGACTGTCTCCCGTTTTATCCATATTAAATTACTTTTTCTTTCACAGCATTTCACTCATGAACATTAAAAATGGCAATTATCCAACGCCCACTAGAATCTTAAACTAGACAAGTTGATGAGAGCAACAACAACAGAAAAAGGAATTCAACTAAATGGATCACATTTCGAATGCGCAAACGCGATGGCATTCTGTCAACAGAAGCAAAAAATCTACTTTTAGTTGGCCATGAATTTGGCTCTTTCTTGAGAGCGTCGCGCGCTCAGACTTGGCCACTTAGAAAGTGTGATTGATTTTTGGCGCGGCCAAAACACTACGTCGCCCAACGCATGTGCGCACGCTCATTGCCTGCCGTGCGCTTACTCTAGGCACACAAACACACCTACTCACACATGCATACTAGATGCTGGCGCTTGGCTTGGATTGACCAAGGTGGTGGCGGTAGGCAGCAGCGATTTACTCGTCTGCGCGCGATCGTTTCTTTTCCGTCATTCTGATAAATGTGCAGTGTCGCGTGTGCCGCATATTGATGAGATTCCATTTGATGAAAAACGTATTTACATTAAAATTTTCTATTTTTTTGCATTACACGGCTGTTGTTAATATAGTTGTTGTTGTTTTAGTAGCTGTCGCTCAAGCAAAAGGTATTTAGAATGCGAGCGCATGCGGTCACAACAGCAGCCACATCAGCAATTCATCCACACATACTTATATATGTGGCTGTGTGTGTGTTTGAGTTTGGTTGAGGTGACGCGTCCATCCATCCAGATTAGTACGCGGCGCGCTGCTTTAGCGCAAGGGGAGGGGATTATGTGTGTGGCATGTTTGGGCGTACTGCCAAGTGCAGAAAAGAAAGTGTATATTTGGAATTATTTGGAATTGCTATTTTCTGTTTCAGTGCCCGCTTGACATCGCACTCGCACACACACACACACACATATGCATATATGTACCTACACATATACATCTATTATATTATATATTGCTAGCGGCATCTCTCGCCCGGCAAATGATGCGCGATCGACAATCGCCAGCGTTGCACGTCGCTGTGATCTAGTTAGTTTGCAAAAGGAAAAGAGCGTGCAATAACTCAGAGGTGAACACCACAAATATCCACCAAAACACACACAAATCGATACTTTGGCAAATTTGTATGGAAGGAGTGTTTCATATGGAATGTAAATTATTTAGAACAAAATCGAAAATGCAGCGAAAATTTGCATACTTTAATTGAATGTTCCATTTGGCACCAATCTTATGATTGATGTGATGAATTTTGAATTAGCGAACTCATATAATATATATAAAAGCTATATTAGGCTATAGTAGCGTAAGATTTTATAGTTATGCTAAAAATTATTTGTTTTTGGTGGGACCTAGTCCCCAATGGAATGAAACCTTTATATTTATTGTTATTTAATTGCTATTAATTACGAGTATTAATTATAGGAAATACATCCATTTCGTTTTTAAGACTTTTGAGTGAATGTAAGCAAAATTGATTTGGTTTTACATACATGCACTCAAGATCAAATTTGACTCGGATATGTCTATTTAAACTGCACGCGTAAAAATTATCTGTAAACAAATTCTGATTGGATTGTTACAACCTTTATTTATGTTCTTGTGTGTTTGTCAGAACAGTAGAATATTTTGCATCAGATGAACAGTCAGTCTCACTTTGTTTCCAATTCTCTTAAAAATTACAGAATAATTCGGGTAATGGCAGGTTGAGGTCACCTAAATTCGACAAGTGTTCCTTATATTACTTAGATTTGACTTCCTTATACATTAGATATGCACTTCCTATATTCGATCCATATCCACAGATATATTTAGTACTGAAGATATGATTGGCATGTGATTTTTCGCTATCTAGATTTTGCTCCGATATACAATATGTATTTTAAAATAATATTTTTTAATAATTTTAATGTTATATAGATAGGTAGAGTGGATGTCTGACGACGCACCTAAGCCTTTAGGAGGCACATTGTGGGGGCACCGGGACTAAAATCGCCTCACTCTAGTATGTCCTCTCTGAACAAACCTGTGCTCCTGATGAAGTTGATCTATACAAAAAGTTTTATTTGTGCAATCTTCGTCATATCGTCAAAAAAACCTCAACCGATAGTTGCGATTATCTTCCTATACAAAGTCTTGCATTTGCATATAAGATGTTCTATAGTCTCTTCTTCTTCTATCTCTTGAAAGCTTTTACAATAGTAATATTATGGTGTTCCCAGACTGCTGACTTGTCTACCAATTAGACGGTGACCTGTTAGCACTCCTACTACAGTTCTTATGTCAACGGATTTCAAGGCATGCGAAGATGCAACGGTCAGTTGTCAAGGTTATGGCGCCTATCTTTTGGATGCGTATGGACAAATTTCCAACGACTATATGGAAAAACCATCAACAGCCGCGTTTATAAAGCGTTACTGGAACGTTTGAAGGAAGAAATTGTGGATTGTTCTTCACATTTCAAGAAGAACAAAGAGCTACTATTTTATTCCAGAGGCATGTTTTGAAGCTAAGGACAAATCGTACTCTAAAAAAAAGGTACCGAAAAGTTTGAACACCACAATAATCGATGTAATCCCGATATATCATATGGCGTGTGGTGTACGGAGCTGAGTTCAAAAAATAAGATGACGTGCCACGTAAGTTCGTATTTCAAATATTTTCCAAAAAGGGGCGCTATGGCGAATTGACAAAAACGTTGGCGCTCAGTTTTCATATGCTAGCTAATTAATGTTTATACTCAAGTGCTTAATTTCGGTAATTTGTGACTTTTTCTTGTTTTAAAAGCTGAGAAGATGGGTATGGATTTACTACTATTGAATATCATGTGCTATTTGTGTGGGTTTGCTTCGATGATCAATCCTGGTATTGCTGTAGATTAATATTTTTAAGCTACAGAGAGTATACTAAGTTTGTTTTCGAGATATCCATGTGAAATTTTGCATACGTTTTTTTCTCCCCATGAAGCTGCTCATCTGTCGATACCGCCGATATCGGACCACTATAGCATATATATTTTTTTTCTTTTTCGTTTTTTCTATATTTTGTACATTTTACATTACAGATGCTAATTGGTTTCTTTCGGTGTAAAATTGCTCTGTGTATCATTACACTCTGTTCTTAGCCTAACTTCAAATAAGCGCGCAGTTAACGAAATAAGTATTACATCATTGGTGTGAACCAATTTCAATTGAATTACAGTTAGTAAAAATTAAATCATTTATAGAGATGTTGACCGCTGTTTACCCAAATTTATTGAACGTTTTTTAGAAAATTATTTTAGCGCATGAAAAATTTTGAATTGAACATATGAATCATGTATTTGAATGCATATGCTTACTTTAACATATTTTCACCGATAAAACTCATTAATTTCTATTGAAATATATTACAACACTATTAGTTTTGTCTACGATTGAAAAATAATTAGAGTAATTAATATACTTTTTATAAAATTATGCATGCAAATCTCAACACACATATACATAAAGTTTGAGTTTGAGAGTAAAAATATTCATGCATGCTTCGCATACCCCAGGAAATACTGATAATATATGTATATTTTTTGCTCACAGTTTCCGTTAAAAACAAAACTGCACATACACACACACACCTACACCCACGTAGCTGATATCACTATAGTAACTGTATAACAAACTCACATTCGGACAACGCTTTTTTAAATCGGTGCGCTTCTTCGACACATAACTGTTGAAATTCATCCAAGGTGAGACGAATTCAAAACTCAACAAAGCGATCAAGAAGAAGGACAATGTTGCAGCTCGCCAAGATGACATTTTTACTTTCTATGTGTTTTTGATATAATTTATTTTTATTTAATTTTTCTGCATAAAAAATATTGGTTATTTCACTTTCTTGCTCCAGTCGTTGGTTACTTCGTTCCATACAAAATACTATTGTAGATTCGCTTTGCCTCGACGAACGTGCATAGAACACCAACTGTTGGTGAAATTGCAAATTTTGAACAACTCAATTTAAAAACAAAAAAAAAAGCAAATAACTATTTTGACATTTTGTATTTTTTACAACAAAAATATTTTACGCCATTCCCGATCGGCAGCGACGCGCTAACTGGCTGCGATTGTTATATGCTAAGCGATGGCGCGTTGCGTAGCTCCAGCGATTTGTAAATGGTAGCAACGATTGTGGAGCGTAAAATACAAATGTACATATGTAAGTACATATGAAGAAAAAAAAATAGCAATTAAAAAAAGTAATAACAAAAAAGTAAAATGAAATAAAATTGCGGATAAGAACACCCGCCTTTCGATGTTGCTGTGTATTTATTGTAATTTGTGTTGATGGCCTGCTAAAGCGATTGTCGCTACTGCGTATATTGTTGTTGCTGTTATTTTTAGAGTGTCCCTATAAGAACATTTATTGGTGAATTTTTTAATAAATTAATTTTGTCACCGAAAGTGTTTTCAAAAGATATCTAATATCTAGCTAGTCTAGAAGAAAATTAATTGATGATTTTAGCGAGACCGCGTTGAAATTTTAGTCTATAATCTATTGGTCCAATCGATTGGAGTGTGCGACTTCGGGTGGTATAGCCGCCTTGAAAAAAATAAAAATTCGTTTTGGTAGTTAATCAACAATCAGGACTTAGTCTTACTAAAACTATGACTGAGGTTGGTTAGTATACATATGCTTGACTTATTTTTTGATTGAATCAAAGATTTCGTCATTAAGGAGTTATATATTCTTGTAAAATTCCAAAAATAAATTTTTTTGTTTATATCGAATGTAGATGTACTTGAAAATATTCTCCGAATAGATATATGCGTATTTCTAAAAAGTGTTAAACTTAGTGTAATCGGCTCCCAATACTTTAAACTAGTTTTTTCTCGAAACGCTGTTTTCAAAATCTGTGAAGCCGATCGGTTGAAGCGATCGTATACAAATTTTCACACAACTTTTTTAAATATAGTGTCGGTAATAATCGAAGGATCGATTTTGAACCCACTATGAAGTATACATTTTTTTTCACAAAGTCTTTTTGGGAAAATCTTACTCATCGCCAGACACCAACTTTTGGCTCCTGAAGATGGACTACGTGATCAAGGGAATCCAAATTTTTTCAAAATGCATCGCCTACTATTTAAGTATATTATATTCTGCAAATGTACATAAAAAAAAATTATCATGAAATACGCGTTTTTTCTAACTTGCAAGGTAATATGAGTATCGGAAAATATGGTTGCATCAATTAACTGTAAATATAATACGTTTTCTATTAAGAGTTTTTTCTGAACTAGTACAAGCCAAGACTTTTTCACAGGGCACAAAGATCACAAGGACTTTTAAAGTTATCAAAATTTTAACTAACTCTATCAGTCGGGCGTGATTTACTAAACATTTAACATGCTTTTCTGTAGGTTAAGAGATCTTTCAAATAACTAAATATATATAAAAAATTAATAAAATATCCAGCGTGAGAGTTTAGCTTCAGCAACCTGCAGGCATTCTATATATTATTTCTCATATTTTTTTAGTGATTTTAATATGATTTTGCCTAAATGCTTAAATAAGTACAAACTAACTCTTACGTCTCCATAATTTAGTCACAAATTCTAAAATCTAAATGTCTAAAACTTCAAAAATCCATCCCTGAATTGATGCTTCAAGCAGCACAGTCTACAGCCATAAGTGCTGTTAAATCATACATTTTCAAGAAAAGTCCCAAAAAAAACCCTGCTAATGCATGAAAGAGTATGAAATTCTTAACTTTAATAGCGATTTGCATCTGGAAGTTGGGTGCCAACATTGAATAAGAAAGACTGATTATATATAGCAATAAATCTATAGATAGTATAAACACCCTTTATCATAAATGTTTCACAATGCTAAGAAAATCACCTTCGAGGGAATAAACAACGTAATCAATTTTTCCGAGTGCAATTGGGTAGAGCGTTAATTCATTAGATTATTTATATCGGCAATTATACCTTGAAAGAAAAAAGTCTGCAAAATTATAAATTTATGTGGTTTCACTCATAAATGTTTTGAGTTTGCTGATAAGCCAGCGATTCAATATCACTCACATAGAGCTCAAAGTTTTATTTGAATACAAGTTTTTCCTACATGGTATACACTTACAAATATATACAGAATAACTAATACATGTTTTACATATGTATTTAAGTGTGTATTTTTCATTTGATTATTTTTTTTAATTACACATATATTTGTTTTGTCTTGACAGCAGCGATGAAACATCAAACGCGCAATAATAATAAAATTTATTATTATTTTTAATTTTCAATGTATTTAGCACACATACATATACACTTATTCGTTCGCTTTTAATCATACTCATTCTGGTTCTGTTTCATATATGACGACTATCACTTGAAACATAATCATTGAGCAATTTTTGAAATATTTTCGCTCGTGCATAGAATATAAATCACATACTCATGAGCTAGTTCTCAAACATGTATACATACATATAAATATAGTTATGAATGTGTATGAAATTCTGATTTTGTGAAATTGAGCAAAGTCAGAGCACGCCGAGTGGCGCTTCCACTACTCTATACACCTACCTATATACATACATATTTGTATGCATGTTCGTATAGCTTTTAATTTTCGCTTGGATTTGTGGGGCGTCAAGGAAGTGCGTGAAATGTGCGATCAGCCAGCTCGGCGGCGCGGCAGCGGTTGTGCTCTGGTATTGCGATTGCATTGGTCTGGTCTGGTCTGGCATTGCATGACTTGACTGCCGGTGCTTACATTTTCTTATCTCACGTCATAAAAACGCAGCGGCTTCTCATTCACATGTCATTTGACTGCAGCGGAATGCTGAGAAGGCACAGTAATGCAAGAATAGATGAACACGCCTGATTATTAAAGTGACAAGTTTATTACAATTCTACGTATTTATCTAGATGATGTTTTGAATGCTCATTGGTTGTCTTCGAATAGTAGATCATGGAAGATATTAATTAATTTAATGCCTCTTTTCGTTTGACTCTGGCGCTATACTTATTCAAGCCAAATGATTATTAGGATTCTAACAGAATTGAAAATGGGATTGATTCGTATTTCGATTGCATCATATATGGATCAAAGATCGGTACCCTCAAAACCCACAAAACTGATTTCAAAATGACAGGATTGGTAGGTTCAAGAAGATTAAAAAAAAATCTGCGCTCGAAGCTCCCATCAACATGATAAATTCTACGCTTAAACTTGGAAAAAGTTTGGAAATGGCATTTTAGTTGAAAGGTAGATATTAGAAAGTATTCAGATCACATGATCAAGGTCAAGTTGGCTAATTAACAAGTTCTGTGTTAATTTCAAATACATGCAATAAGTATTTACCAAAGCTAGAATGTTCTGATTTAGGTCAAATAAGTACAAGTATATTTTTGTTTGATGAATTGTTGGCATTTCGTAATTTTGTAATGTCATTTTCAGAGAAACCTTCCTCTCTATTGGAAAAAAGCTGAGGTAGTCGATTTTCACAAGCTTCTTTTGAGGCGAATTTTTACCAGAAAAGTCATTTGCCATGGACAAGACAGATAGTAATCACTTGTTGCAGGGTACGGACTATAAGGAAGATGCATAAGAACTTCCCAACCAAGCTCACGGAGCTTCTGGCTAGTTACCAGGAGTTGGCGTTGTCTTGATAGAACACAATTTCTCTCCTATTTTCCAATTGCTGTAGATCCGAATTAAGAGTTTGACTGTGGAAGAGCAGTTCATAGTACAATGTATGATTCCCTGTCAATCCCACCAAACACATAAAAAAACTTTCAACTTTATCTTACTTAACTACCGCTTGCGCCAGTTCACCGCGATACGACCAGGACCATATTCGCTTGACGTTGTCGTAAGTGACCGAATCGAGCTTATTTTTTTATTACTGTTGACAGAGGAATACAACTAGAGTTCAACGAATACTAGGATAGGCGGCTACGATTGTACATGAGATGGCTCTCGACTAGAAGTTATCTTAAAAAAGTTCACTGTGCAGCACGAAATTTTTCACAGTTTTCCATAATTCAAAAGGGGTTCCACGCATTAGACTGTCAATGTGCTGCGTGTAACGCTTCCGCTGTTGCGATTTTTCTAATTAAGAATTTTGCCGTTGCCTTCAACTTCAATATTTTTAGATATCGTCACGCACTTAGCCTCCACTGCGCTGCTCCACCGCACCCGCTCAAGCATTACAGACAGGAAAATCGCTGATTGCAGGTCATCCGAAGCATTCCGAATTGGTCGCTGTGAAACATCTCTAACACTTCGCAATAGAATATGCAGCCGTCAGCTATTCGTAAGACACTTGATTACACCGATTTAGCTAGGCAAATTTCCATTTTCTATTTTCCATTTTAATAAGTATGTGTGCGAAAATCTGGCGGCATACAATGTATGATATAGGTATTTACAAGGTATGTACTTGTAGGTATAGTGTATAGTTATATATAAAGACATAAATATGCAATATGTACTCATCACGAAAAGACAGAAAAAGCCGCTTACTAATTTAAATTGTAATATTTCTAAGTATTTATATACGAGTATATGCGCTCAAAACAATATAGTAGTGGGGTTACTTTAATATTATTGAGAATTCGTTAGAATATTTTGAACTTGTTACAAATACAACACAAAAATACAGAAATACTTGCGGATTAGTTATTTTGATTATTTAACTTGAAAATGGAAAACTAAATTTTTTTTAGAGTTTTAACACTTTTTCCTTTTTTGATTTGGTTAATATTAAGAGACGACGACTTCCCCTAAAAGCTTGTACAAGAAGATGCATCTACATACATACATATATATTATGTTTAAAACCGCACGAATATCTGAGCTGCAGTGATAAATTGGTTGGAAATTCAGAACCACAACAATTTTGTACATAAATTTATTTTAAATAGGTTTATTCACATTACTATCTCCGGACTTTATATCTGCTAAAATATTTAAAGAATGTTTCGATAAAATTTTTGAATTTGAAAACAATAGATTTTCAAAGTGCCGCTAAATGGCCACATCCGACAGAAAGACCACCAAGAGAAAGACCTAACAAAATGTCAGCGTGTTTGGACAATATTAATATATTTCGATTACATTCCATAAAACCTAGATTCCTGCATCGCGAAACCTTCTCCTAGCGAGTCCTTCTTTGTTTACACAACTGCTAGGGATTTGTGGGCGGGGCGAAGTCGTTGGAGAAGAGGTGTGATGTGTTCAAGCGGAGCTGGCCGCCATCATGGTTGTAGTAGATGTACTGCTTTGAAGTGCAGCTTCCTTCAGAGATTACTGGCTTTGAACTCGCTGATTATATGCTCAAAACTAGTTTAAGAGTGCATTACCTCGTTAGTAATAGCATCAAGCTTCTTCCATATT